TGCTGCTAAACGGCTGGAGCAACTAAATTAATTCTTGGGCAACTAATTAGCAACTAAAAAGCAACTAAATTTTTGACCCATTGCCACTTCGATTTTCGCTGGTGGGGGTTCCAGTTTAATAGGGGTGATGTTACGCTCGGACAAAGAAATTACAGAGCAACGGAATTCGCGACGGACAGGCTCAGCTAGCTCAGCCAACGAAATTGGCAAAGGGGATGGTTCGCGATGAGCGGGGAACAATGTCGGAGAACGAAGTAGAGGCAGACAGAAATAATCAGACAGCAATTAATATTAACAATGACAAAGAGTTTCCTATTTATTGCATTCGTGTCGATACATGAGTTGACGTAATGTACAGAATGTCGCGGTCGCGCGTCGACGACAAGTTTACTTTATTACAGAAGGAACGATAGCAAGGTCGTCGACGGCGGTACTTAGAAATGTCCGACTCTCTGAACTTTCCACGAACCGACAGCCTAATGCTGAGCGGTGACACGCGGCTCGACTCTAATTCTTAAACAACCGGAATCTCAACAAATAATACGAACAATTTGACTTGGTAGTGACACGGGCGAGCAATAACGATAACTCTGAGCATGTAAATTCCTTAATTCGAGCGAACGGCCTGCGTTTATCGATAATAGCAATGGCGTTAGTTTTGGCCGGTACGACATCGGCTGAATCAAACCCGCGGAACTCACACACGCGATTCGCTCGATACGCTCACAAAATATTACGCGATCGGTGGCTTTACAATAGAACTAATAACGCTCGCCTCACCAAAATTCCTCCTCCTCAGCTGCTTCCGAGATCCGCGAGAGCCAACAGCGATGCTCGTGCACAAGAATGTTCCCGATTTCCGACTTCCCACAAGCTGTATTATGCTCGGCGAGATTCTGCGTCCTTCCAGAGGGTCGGTCTCTGCACAAGTGCCGATCGGAAGTTTTCGCGGATTCACGCAGGTCGTCAGGCCCTCTCTTATCGGCCTCTGCTCTTTCTAATTGGTTCGCCGCGACCGCATGACCCCGTGACGAATCCTGCGGGTCCTCGCGTGTCGCGGATCCTTTTGCGCTATGGCGCGCTTTTCCAAATAAGGTGGAAAATGCTTTCTGATCGCTCGAGGATCTTCCAGTGATCTTTATTCCCATAAAGACCCATACGGCGCTTCGGCGGAGGTTCTGCCTGTTAATCCGTTCCCAGCTGACGTCTATCTCCGAGGCGTCTGCAATAATCGTGCGATAATTTACAGAAGAATGGCGACATTACAGTAACAAATATGAAATAATACGACCTGCGTGTACCGCTCTTTCCGTGATTCCAGTCAAATTCCTCTGACAACACTGTCTCCCTCGCAGCAGGCGATGTCTTCTTTCTTCTCGTGATAGGTGAGGCGGTCAAACACAGAGAGACAAAATAGCCACCGGTTTTGATCGTAATTAATAATGAAATCCGAGCTCAGGATCGTCTTAACGTTAGCTAAAACTTAACTAAATAGCGACACAAAGAAGAAAAAGAAATAATACAACAATCGCAAAAGAGCATAACAGTTAAACAATACAATAATCGCAAAAAGGAAATACTCGTTTTAATTTAGATTTTACTTATATGTAGATATGTTAATTTTGAATTTGCACCTTGAATAAACTATCATTTACTTTTCGTGGTACATATTCAACATAGAAAATATACATAATATATGTTCACTTTGAACTGGCACATTTAGTAATATATCAGTTACTTTTCGTGGTAATACATTATATTAGATAATATAAAATTTAAAGATTTTATATTATTAGGTTACATTATTAGATAATCATTTTAATTTAGAAAGGTTCAAATTTTTGGGGTTAATTTTCAAAGATTAAATTTTTTGGGTTTTTTAATTTGCGAGAATCTATTTTTGAACATGGCTTGACCTTTTCATTTTAATGATATGTTAGGATTTAATAATATATCAGTTTCTTTTCGTGGTTAATAATTTAATATATTATTATTAAATAATCATTTAAATTAAAGGTTTAAATTTTTGATATGTTATAGACGTATATATTTTAATAGTATATATAACTTTTTTAAACATTATTAAAACAAAAATATTTATTATACAATATATACCTCAATTATGCATTATTTATATTATATGATATGGTTGGTTTTTTAGAATATCACTTACTTTTCAGAGTACAATTATATCTAAAATATATATAAAAAAAATAACGAAAGAGAGTGAAATACGGCGAAAGAGAGAAGTAGTGGTATCAGGAGATGCGGTAGTGTCTATATATTATTATAATAGTTAATCATTTAAAGTTTTATCATTCAAATTTTAATAGTTTTACATGTACACGCCATTTAGTTTTCCACATCACCCTAGAGGTACTAATGTTGATGCGTTTTTTTTTAAGTGGTTTCCCCAATAGGCCTATTCCACTACCTTTTATAATTATAGTGTCTTTTGCAGATGTGATGAGAGTTTTTCAACAAGCGACACTGTGTAACACAGTCATCATTGCATTTTTGTTTAATACTGACGAATAACAAGGATGTAATGATTCGCTGTCTTACAGTGTGTCGTTTGCGTCATTTGTTGGAAAACTCTCAGTGATTCTTGCAGACATGAGGTCTCTTCTTTATTGCTGAACTTTTGCACCAGTTCATCTTTTTTCCTTTTCCCTTCTCCTGGAGAGAAAAGGAAGAAAGATGAACTAGTGCAAAAGTTCAGCAATAAAGGACAGACCTCTAGTGTCTTTTGCAGACATGATGAGAGTATTGCAACAAGCGACACTGTATAACGCAGTGATCATTGCATCTTTGTTTAATACTGGCGAATAACAAGGATGTAATGATTCGCTGTCTTACTCTGTGTCGCTTTGTTGAAAAGCTCTCTGTGTCTTTTGCTGACATAGTGTCTATTGCAGACAAAGACATAAAGAATGGACTGCGCGATCCCGTATCTAAGTAGTATCAAAGTGTGTCGAAGAAAATGAGAGAGAGGGTCCGTGGAAGACGGCCATCTCTATCTTTTTCCATTCCATTGTGTAACGGAAGAGAGAATGAGAGGGAGATGGCCGTCTTCCACGGTCCCTCTCTCTCATTTTCGTTGACCATTTTGGTACACGGATCGCGCAGTTCATTCTCTATGTCTTTGAATGCCCACATAATGCCTTTTATTGTTATCTTTTATAGATATAATGTACTATGTAAATATAGTGTATTTTATAGTCTCCCAATCTGCTCCAAGAACAACATGTATGCCCCTTGAGCTTCATTGGGCCATTTCTTCCTGATAACTTGTAAATCATTAGAGTAACACCATTCCGATTTTTTGCCTGTTCTCAACATACACGTATAGTGACCACGATTCATTTCTTCACCCTCGTGAAATATTGCACTTATTACCTTGTACTTTTTTTTATTAATCGTGAGATTACTCGTCGGTACGGCATTAATCCGATTCCCGATAATTTGTTTAGAAGCACCGTTTACAAAAGTGTATAAATTGAGCTGTATTACTAAGACGGATAAAGTGGATTCTATTACGGTTTTCTTTTTCAGAACGATACCTTTACATTCGTTACAGTTACCATTTATCGTTTCCCACTTTGAAAATTCTAAATCAATCAAAGTTTGCAGAGTGACACCCTTTTTCCTTTTTAGTGTCGACTGTATAGGTAACATTAGCAAACAACTCTTTTCCAGCGTAGTTACACTGTAATTACATTTGACATTTGAACAACATATTACGTGCTTCAATTCGATTTCTAATGCATCATTGATTTCGGAATACGTCGACGTTAGAGCCGTGAAAAATTTTTGTGTTCGTTCTTCGAAACGTTCTCCGACAGATCTTCTAACCGCTAGAATGTTGCAACGCCTACACTCAGCATATGCGCAGACGGCATAGTCAATGGATTTGATACTTTATTTTTCAGTATTTGTTGCCTGATACGTACACAATGAAACGCACATTGCAATATTACATTAGCATAACACGAGACACGATCGTCATTGCAGAGGCCGTATATTTTCCATGTAACGATACTTTCTGATTCCTCGCAACCATAATTCTGTACATCATCAATGATATTAGGTATGGCCCATCGACAATCGTGAATTTTCACAGCCTTTTTTTCGGACGAACTGATTTGTGGTAGCTGAGATTTGAACACAGATCTCAGTCGATTATATTCTGCAATGGCGCCCGAGTTTGCTTTAATGGATGCTGGATTAAAATTTATCAAATGTAGGCCATCCAGTGTACTCACTCGTGACAGATCCACATAAGCCTGACCATCACTGAACACACTCGTTCATAGATCCATCATTGCATTTTTACACGTAATTCCTTGACTTTTGTGTATAGTTATTCCATAACTGAGAGATAATGGAAATTGTTTTCGATGTACCATCACTTTGTGGAATACTTCGAATTTAATATCTACTTTCGTTATTGTAACCTCTTTATTATCAGAAGTAACTATTTTAATGGAATCAATACGATTTCCGTCAACAGAGCGATTAACCGCAACTACATTGCCTATCGTTCCATTGACAAGTCCCAAAGTTACATCAATGTTTCGTCGAATCATCACTTTAGCGCCAATTTTAATCGCTATTACCCTTTCAATGCCAGCTGTCTCCGAAACTTTATCATCTTTCTCTTCCAAAATTTTTTGTACTTTTTTTCTCATTGCTGGAGCACAGTCGACATCATCGTCCGCTATCAATAGAATTTCATCGCCGTCAATTTTATCGAGCATTGCCGTGTTAAATATCTTGCACAAATAACATGTAGGTAATAAACATATCGTATCAATCGGTAATTGATTCATATAAGCGCAAAGTTCATTCAATCTTTCGTCGCAACTACTCCCTTTGAAATTGATTTTTCTCGACTGAAGAACATTAATGTCAGAATCCGTTACCAAGCCTATTCGTACTCTGGAAAGTATCTCGCGATATGCGTTGTCACATCTTTGTCGCATATTAAGCAAGAGTTCGTCATAATCCAACAATCTCCACAAATCAGATCCACCCATGGTACCTAAATACTTCTGAACCTCCGATCGAGACATTTTAACGAATGGAAACTGTTCTTTTACAGGAGGAAGCTGCAACAAGTCTCCAAACAGAATAATGTGTTTTCTGCCAAAGAAACCATCATCTACATCTGTCGTATCGAAGATTTCACATAATCGTAGATTGATAAACATAAGTGTCACATTCGAAATCATAGATACCTCATCGATTATAAATAATTCTACATTCTTCAATTTCTCTCTCAAAGTTTTCAAGACCATATCTGACAAGTGCGTATATTTTGCCGTAGATTCATGGGTGACTGGTAGCTGAAACATTCTATGAATCGTCAAGCCATTGATATTGCATGCCGCGATACCCGTGGGAGCTGATATGGCAGTCACTTTTTCCAAATTTAAGGAAATCCAATGTTTAATTGTGTCAATAAGAAAACTTTTCCCTGTACCACCCTCGCCACTTACATACAGTCGCAGAATCTGATTTTGATTCTGTAAAACTTGGCATACTTTATCGAAAACTCTTTTCTGATCTTCGTTCAATTGCGACATCATTTGCGATAAATCAATCGGGACGTCAATCTTACCAAAATCTTCCAGATCTTTCATCGCGTCGTCAGCTTCTATCGGATTGCAATCCAATTCATCGTCATCGGATTTGTCTTTATCTGTTTTCAGATCATTTTCGCGCTTCTCGATTAATTCAGCTACGTTCTCAAAAGCTTTCTGTATTTCTTCGAGTCTTTCGTGATATTTCATTGCTTTTGTCAAAGCAGACTCTGAATTCTTGAAGGCATCCGTGTAGGTCTCGTATGCGCCTTTCAGTTCACTCAAATCTCTCCACGGTTTAAACAAAAGAAGCAGCGAATAAAAGTATTTTTCGGGTTCAGTTTTTACATTGAATCGATAATGATTAATTAAATAACACTTTCTTCGTTTTTTTTTAAAATAAGCCCGATTCAAGTATATAATATTCGACTCCGTCATTATTTGGCATCTGTTTCGTAATTTCCCAGAATCTGGCAAAATCGTACAAATTCAACGATTCTAATTCCTTGGTCTGTTTGGATAGTAATCATCGATGAGCGACGGACAATAAATATTCGTAGAACCTTCATCAAGAGCTTTAATTTCGTTGAATGTTTTAACTTTTCTGTTTCTTATTTCATTAACGTCAATCCATTTGATAATAGTATCACTGTCCGTACCATACAAGGGATGATCTAGTAATGTGTCGGCAGCTTCTAAAGCACCGCATTCTCTGTTATTCAATGAACGCATCGCAAAATTCCACAATTTCGATGCCAAGGGCTTGTTGGAATCTATCATTGCAAAGTCTATATTGCATTTTTCCGACTTTGTTGTGTATTTTGTTAAATATGAATTTAAAAACTCTGACTTTTCTCCGATAAATTGTATGTCCATA